CCTTCTTGTTGTCTTTGACATCCCTTGCCAGATATAATTCCAGGTGGACATTAGCCTTCCTTGTTGCATCCCTGCATACTCTGACAACATTCCTGTGTTCCTCCCAAGTGGCCTGTCCCTCTTTTCGCGTGTTCTGTAGACTTTCTTCTTCCATTTGAGTTTTGCTAGAAGCTGCTTGCTCATCCATTCAGGTCTCCTGCCTCTTTTGCTTGATTTCTTACTCATGGGAATGCACCAGTCTTGAGCATGGAGGAGGTGATGCTTGAATAGTGACCAGCTCTCTTGGAGGCCCCTACCTTCTAGAGCCCTAATCCATGGGATTCCTCCAAGCAGGTCCTTGAAGAGGCCAAAGTTAGCTCTCCTGAAGTCCAGGGCTGTGATGCTACTTACTGCCCTGCTTCCTCCACGCGGGATCCTGAACTCCACCACCTCATGGTCGCTGCAGCCAAGGCTGCCCCTAACATGCACATCATCAACCATTACATTCCCACCTGGCAAGAAAAATAATTTCTTCTTTTCTCTCAGTAGTTATTGTCTTCCAAAAAGAATCTGGTAGATGCTTGTTAGTGATGTAACATGCTTCATGCCAATATTTTATCGAAGGTAGTGATGATTGAATTGCCGCTTGGGTAGGTTGTGAGCGTAAGTAGAAGGCATGTCTTACCTTGCTGGACAGGCTCAGATAAGGTATATGTGTTATAGTTTGGCTGTGGCTGGCAACAGAAGGGCCCAGCTCCCTCCCAACCAGAACCTAGCATGACGGCACATGGTATCAAATACCCTGTTCTGTTTGGCCAGGTTGGGTCAGCCCGCCTGGCTGTCCCCCCTCCTGACTTCTGGTGAAAAATAACCCTGTCCTGGCCGAACCCAGGACAATATATCAAACCAAGAAATCACTAACTTTCAGAGGAGTGCTAACTTCCGATATTCTCTCTTCCATTCTTGGTACATGTTGATCTGTTTTGTGTATTGCTTCTACTGATCAGATGCTCTCAGCTGATTACAGGTTGCCTTGATGGCTGTATTGATTTGCGTTTTGATCTACTGTATGCATAATATGATTGGCAAAGCCTTGTCCTGAGCAGGTAACCTCATGCACATCCCGCATGTGGAGTTAATGATTCAAAACGAGTCTGTCCTGGTTTGTGCTGAAGTCAGGGAGAGCAAGGTTTAGAACCACAATGAGGATGCCAGGACTGTAACTTCTTGGTGGTGCTGCCTTTTTAATTCAGGTCTTTTCCAAGTATGACATGGCTTATATTATTTTTTAATATACTCCTAGGAAGGAGAACTTTTGTGAGTATTTTGTAGTGCTGTTGATGGAGCACATGTGGCATGTCCATCTTCTCTTCATAGCAGTGCCTTTCTGTTTGCCATTGGAGCATATTTTCTGTTAATGCTTGGATTTTTCCTTCACTCAGGCTATGCAGGCTGTGCAGTCGGTTTCGAAGTCTCGAGATCCGTGGTCCAGTTCCTCTTCAGAAGTAGACTGGATTTTGGCTCAGATCAAAGACCTGATGCAAGAGAACAGGTACATCTCTGATAAGGAACTGAGGTGAAAGGTACAGTGCAGAGCTGGGCCTGTAGATCAGTTGCACTACCTTTTCACCATGTTGTTCATCTGATCATGGAGAAAGCAATTGGTTCATTTCCTCAACATCTTTGAGGATGGAGTTATTAATATATGTTAATGAGTAACGTTTCCTGTGCCAGATGGTCTCCAAGGTGTTGTCCCTGACTTAGCTGTGCTGGCCCCAAGGCGTGTCAGCATCTTTGGTGTCTTCAGAAGCTCTCCCAACAACCTTGTGTAGACTTTGATTTCACAGTAACCTTTAGAATTCTTCAAAATTGCAGGGCAATACTTGGCCTCTTCTATGCTTTCTATCTTTCTATTACTACAGGGCCTCTAGGACCCAGTGTGTTGAGACTTTATTATTACTATATAAATTTGCATGAAGATCCTGTCCCACTCTGAGAAACGTAATCAGTGTAACTGTAGTGGGGAAACATTATCACGTTACAGATATGAGCCAGAACTCCTGATGTTTTGAATGTAAATATGTATGCCGTACAAGCTGCTGATTAGTTTAAGAGATAGTCAGATGTTGTGCCAGAAGAAAACCCTGAGGAAGAGACTTGCACCTTCGTGGCATTGCTCATCGGTTGCTGAGCGTGGAGTAATGAGCAAGAAGGCATGAAGATTCTATAATCAGAAGCATCACTTACTAAACACGGGGCTTCTTTATCATTGAAACTGTCTGTTGCTATATGGTTGGAAGGTACTGGTGGAAGCAAGCCATTGCACCTACCTGTGATTCTGGTACTCTCTCCCTAAGCATCCTCTGTTAGCCACTGTTAGAAGGCAAATGGACCAAGGGCAGCTGCTTTTATATCTAAATAGGCATTTAAACCTGGCATCAGCTACATAGTAGGGGGGAAATGGGATGCCACAGTACAAAACAAGGATTTTGAAAGGTTCAAGTGAGAGCAAGCGACTTCATCCTATGTGAAATGGGTTTTGCAGGAAATGTTCAGGCAAGAGTTGTAATGCGTTGGTAACAGGTAAAAAATGGTAGGAAGTCCCTTTCCATATAGGAAAACTGAAGTAGTTAAGATCTTAGGATAAGCATGTATATGGGGTCTTTCTAATGTTGCCTTGTTGGCATGCTCTCGTATTAGTTTGTCTGTGCAAAACGTAGTTTTCGTAACAGTACTGTCTTATAAGTATATGATCAAAGCAAGTACTTAATGTGGAAAATATTGTGCTTTTGATTTGCTTGCTGTGCACTGATTCTGCAAAGCATGCTTATGGTATCACATGAAAGTGTGTTAAATCACATTCTAGCAATTCTTTGTAATCACCTTTGTGTGAACCACCTGTTGCTTCAGCTCTTGTTATTTGCCCCATGCAGCTGCACAAAGTACGTTCAACTCCAGTTGTGTGGATTTCCAGAAGAATCAAGAATCTACTTCATCTGTCAAATTAAATCTTCCCCTAGAATACTCAGAATTTAGATGCTAGTGACTGTATTTGTGGCCTTTGAGGCACCAGTGTTTTAAAGTTGTTTTCCTCATCAAGCTGTGAAATACCATGTGCTGGGGGGTGAACAGGGGAGTTGGGGCAGCTTCATTTTTGAAACCCTTGGAAATGATGGCGTATTTAGAATACAAACACTTGGAATACCCAGTGAGTTCCCAGGGCTCTTCAATGCTTGTTCTTTACTACTAGCACAACCAAACCATGCTAACGTTTTTCCTTTTAAATAATCTCAAGTTTCTATCTTAAGCACATCGCACTATTTCTTTATATATTTCATGGGGGATTCTCAGAAGAACTCTTTAGGCTGAGTTTGCCTTCTCAGCAGTGCCTGAAGTGTTAGAATGAACAGCGAGTGGGATGGGATTCTGAGGCAGGGCTGTAGATTAAACCTTCACTACTGTGCCTGTCTGCACTGGCTGGAGGGCAGGTATGTGGTGAAGGGAAGCCTCTTTGGAGTTCTGGTAAGTGAAAAGATTACAACATGTGATGAGTTTTATAACATGTAATCCTAATATGGAGCTGCTGCTGACCCAGGAGTGTGCAGTAAAAAGGGGAATCTCTAGTGTCTCTTTGGAAGTAGTAACTTTAAAACAAAGGAACAAACAAAAACACAACCCAAAGCTCCTAAAGTCAATAACCAGTTTTCTGCTTTGCAGAGGACTGTGTCTCCAGAGCACTTCCCAACTCCAGGATACTGGTAGTAGTCTGACTAAAATAGCCACTCTGATATGCGGGGAAATCCCCCACTTACAGCAGCCAAGGATGGGGGACTGTTTCACAACTCATGGCTTGCAAAACTAGCAAAGATCCAAACCCTTCAGTAGTGATGCTGCTGCAGAGGGATTCTGCAGTTGCATTTAACTGCTTTGTGTGTTCACTGTTCAGAGAGAAGTTTTGCAAGAATGTTTTTATTTATATATTTATGTGTGTGTGTGCGTGTATTGTTTCCAGTAAGTACAGATTCCACAATTCCAGACTTTGGGGCAAACTTGTGGAAAGCAAACATATGTTTCTGGATCAGAACAGCTTTGGCAGTGAATTTCCAACCCTTATACCTTTTACTTTATAGGCTCGCTCTCTGCTCCTTTTGCTTCTTATTTATGCAGTATTAGCTCCAGAAAGCCCCAGGAACTGTGTGTCACATTACATACTGCTAGTTTGGCCACTTTTCTGTATTTTTCTGCTCTTGTCAACACTAGATGTCAGATAGGCCAGCTGCTGTAATGAAGCATTTTCCTTGATTTGTGCAGAGTGGCTTGACTGTAGTCACACATGTGCGTATTCTTGGGAGTTGCCACTTCTGCAACGCTCTGTGTGAAGTACCTGAAATAATAGTAATATAATGGGAATGTTTTGCCAGAGCAACAGTACAGACTTAGCTCCACAGTTGTTGTTTCAATGTGAAGCAGCAGTCATCGGGACCAGATTTTAGCAGGGTATTGAGGTATAGTCATTGTCTGCTGGCTATTGTCATACCAAAGAGCTACTTCATCCATTCTCAATCTCTGTTTTTGGCTTAAGCAACATAGGCCAGATGCTGCCATGATTCCCCTTATTTAGGCCTACTTTATGCCTGCTTTCCCCATTTTAATCCTGCAGGGTGAAAATAAGTGACTTGAAAATAAGTTTAAGTCTTAAAAATAATAAAAATTCAAATTCTGAACCTTGCTGGAGAGGTCTTTCTGCAGACCAGCTATTTAAAACAAACAAGCAAGCATCCAGTTGTTGGGTTTTTTGGTTTTTTTTCCTTTTTTCTTTTCTCCACAGCAAGAACATAGATATATTATACCAAAGGCTGGAACTGGCACTGCAGTGAGATTGCTGCCTTCACTACACTTTTAAAAATACCTGGCTGTGTGTCAGTGTTGAGCTGGGGAAGAGGGGCAAAGCAAGAAAATCCCGCTAACCCCTTGTCTCTTGCCATCTTCTTGGCACCCTGCTGATGGAACCATGATGACTTTATTCAGGAAGTTTTGGAGTTTGCTTCGTGCAGCCAGGTTCTTGTTTCAAAACACAGCTTGCTCTGTTCTCCTGTCTGGATCCTTAAGGGACAGTCTTGATATCGTACAGTTATTTGTTTTGCAACATGCAGGTGGTTTAATAAAGAATCTTATTCCAGGCCTTTATGTTGTTTAACTTTATAAAGTTGCTTGAATAATACTGGGGTTTTTTTGAGAGAAAATGATTTTTCGGTTAAGCTGCATTTTCTACTGAAGCTCTCCTCTGTTGGAAGACTTGTACTGTATTGTTTGTTTCAGAGTAATAACAGGACAAAGGCCACAATGCATCTGAACAAATGTTACACTAGCTTACATAAAACAAGTGTCCTTGCAGACGAATGCTAAATCGTGGTAAGAACTAATGTGAGGTAGCTGAGCATGGTGAACATTCAGGCAAATCACAAGTATGTTCTTCGTGTGGAGGGGAAGACAGAGGTGGGTTGGAAGCCTCAGAATGGTAGAGCAAACTGTAGGATTTGGCACTCGCTCCCATATTTTCATCCTTGAGTGCCTACTTCATCTTATGCTATTTTTATTCCAGCATCCAGATGTAACTTCTAAAGAACACAAGTTGTTGTATTTATAGTTAATTGAAGGCTGTGCCTATATCCAGCTTTTTAGAACCACCTGCACATTTTCTTTGCGTGTCCAAAATGATTAAAAAACAGTTCCCAGAAAGGAATCATGCATGTACCTTCTACTTCTGTTTATTAGTGCTAGCATGTTAACTGTATTGAAAATGAGACCCTGTCACACTCTGGTTTCCATTGGTCTTTATGTAGCAGCATAAATACAGGGATATGGTGTGGGGTTTCTCTTAAGTGCAGATTTCTTTCTTTAGAGGGAATTCTCCATTAAATGTTTTTGTGTGAATGGTCACAGATTCTCTTACTTCTTCAGAAACTCAATAAAAATGCTACTTCTGTAGCCCTTGCCACCGGTCCATTCTCCACCGTGACATTTGAGAAGATGAGTAGTGTTATGCTACCAAGGCAGCAATGATGTGCAAGTCCTTATAATCAAGTCGCTTTTTTGACTTGAAAAACAGAGAAACTTTGCAAGCTTTAAACATATGTTTGTGCATACATGTTTATATAAGTGAGCATAGGTTCCTTGAAGTTGTTTTTGAATACCATTGTGGTAATTGATTCTGCTTTGCGTCGTATCTGTCCTGCAGTGCTGCAGCTGTTTACTCTTTCAGTCACGTGGAGTCTGTCATGTATCATCATAAATGCAGCTGGGGTAGTGCTTCCCCCGCGGCCTCTATGAGAATCGAGTTTTCTGAAGGACTAACAGTACTTTCCTTCTCAGCTGAAGACAGGGTTGTTTGTGCAGTCACCTGTGTATTTGTGAAGATGTTTAATTTAAGGACTCAGCTTCTTGCTTTCATTTAATAGAGAAATTTTTTTTTCGTCACTCACAGAAACTAGACCACATGTGAGGAAGGAAGGCTGGCACAGAATGCATTGACAGGGTTGTGACTTCATTGGG